GCTCCAGAGTTAGAAACGGATGGACCAACGCCATCGACGTACTACACAATGAAGAAACGTACGCCAGAAAGGTCGAACATTTTCATGTTTGGTAAGGCGCGCTGATTGCGGGAGCAAAAGCTAGATTGCGAACACGTAAACCGATTTGTGGCTTGTGGAAAAATTAGCCAAAAATCGTTTACATATTCGACTTCCATTCAAGGTCGGCTGGTGTCACCATTTCTTAGTAGCTGAAATCAAAGATCATCTTCAATAGTGACAGTCCTTTGCTCATTTTACGCTGGTCTATTGACAGGTATCATACGCCTCGTCAGATCAACTCCTCTGATGATCTCATCAGACAAAACTCTCTTGCGCAACAGTCACGGAAGTATTTCATTTTCTAATAACATATGCAATTTTGCAGTCGATATAATACGCCCTGTAGAAGACATTTGTTCAGAGAAGATATGTGTTTACATAGAATATTGATCGTCAGACTCATCAGATCACTGAAAAGATCAAGTAAACAACACATTCCGCTAGAGACTAAGCAAATTTACTTTACTTACAAACTTTAAAACTACGCCGACGCAAAATACGCTCGGATAATCTCTACGCAAATGATGCGAACCTAAATTCTCAGTTCTCTAAATAAAGATCTTTTTCTCAAGTTATATACCGCATCTTTTCTATTTGTCTTCATTGTGTAAATTTAATTGGGTATGGCGATTGTCACAATAGTTTGTCTACCAAATTGCTGCTATTTGTACAGCATACCCGAAGGAAATATATCACTACCTTGACAACTTCTTCTTATATAAAAGGAAATAAAATCTTTATAAGATTGATTTATTTATTTCTTTTGAAAGACAAAGTCTCGAATTATATTTTTTCTTCGCTTGTAATAGATGCTCGCATAAAAGAAATTCATTTCTATAATATAAATAAATCTTTAATTTTTTTTTATTTATTAGAATATTTTTTATTGATTGAATAATCATTTTTTATGTTTATCGCCTCATATTCTTACTGGTACGAGACATATCTCAGTCACAATATGAGAGTAATAGGAGTATATAGTGCTTAACGGATATTTGCTTGTGTTTTGAATAAGATGCAGCGGTACTAGCGGTGGTCCTTTTACATAGTAACACGCATAGATGTTATGATTATCGCCATCCGGATAAGAATTCGTAAAATCGGTTATTTTTTTTTTGTTACAAACAACGAAACAGATGAACGCAGGCCATTATCTCGTGTCCACCGTTACAATACCATAACAGCAAGGTTTGGACGATCTGCGATTTTGGCCAAGGGGCCTTATTTATGCCTGCTAACATAATCGAGTTATCTATATTGGTGCAATAACCGAAACGTCCGCCCAGACCCACAAATACTATGATAGGTTTATGGTTATATGTTTCTACCGTACGTCGGCAAAGCAAACCGATACTGAACCATTGACATGTAAAAGCCTGACTCCAATAATAGCCATCGTTTGAGCCGTCGACGGTAAGCGGGGTTTCCAACCACAAAATGGAACAAACAGTTAGCCTAAATTTAAGAGATATTGTAACAATATTCGGTAGCTACTATTTGCTTCTTCTTTAAGAATTGGTAGACTCGTGTTGAAATGCTATTGCCGATAGGTCGGTTTGGAGTGGAAATTAATCTGGAAAGACCTGTAACAACGACAGCTGCTTTGAACTCTCGCGCTTCACGAACCAATGATTTGAGATCGGCCGAAAGTCACAACGGTTCGTACGATCATGGCGTATACTTCAATATAAACGATACTGAATAGCTACTGGATAGTGGAAACGATGATTTCTATTTCGCTGGTTTTACATACTTCACCATGACCGGTCCCCAAAAATTAGCGACACGACACTGGAAGGTACGAGGCTTTCGAAAATTTGTCAGATCTTCGAAAAGACGAGTAAGTTAATTAGTAGGATTAACCGTTGGAAAGACGAAGGCCTTTCTCGTGCGTTGCGCTGTCGGCAATTGCCTGCCGAATGGCTAGCTAGCAATGTGACAGGAAATACTGTTGATATAAAAATGTGCAAAAAAAGTTTAGCTTAATGAAAATAAACGTAGTTTTTTTACGCGGTCATCAGGAAGTTCAATAAGTGAAAGTAGTTAGAGTGAAATGAAAATACATAAATGTTTTTTTCATGCCAGCTGTCTAGCTGCCCGAAATCAGGGACGGATTAGGCTCGCCGGCCAAAGTAACAGGCGATTTACTGGTCCTATAAAACAATTTTCTTTTGACGCTCTTTGAGCATCTATGCTTTTTGTAAATATGACACGAAACAAATTGAAACAATTTACTCGAGACATAATAACTAGATTTCTGTTGCGATGAGTACTAGGATCAAATAATGAATTCTAAGTGAATAAATTAAGGTAATTAAGGGATTGACGTTTTGATTTTGCAAGCGCGCGTAAATTTGACCTGGTGTTTCAGTTAGATATGAGGGTGACATCAGCATTTGGATGCCGATCGGATTGTATACGATCATTCCTTGCTCCTGAACCCAGTTATTTCAGAAGAAGACGTCCAGCCAAAAAGTCAGTCTGGAACGTATGCTACATGCTGCGTGTGGTCAGTGCAAATGGGACATTAGTTGACTCCCTGGAAATGTACGTAACACAGAGCGTAAATTATTCGGTGTTACATTAAGTCGCCATAGAAGGTCCGTCTGGCCCCGTTGAAAGCAGCCTTCTGTCTCCATATGATTCAACCACTAGTCTTTTTATTCAGATTTGTAACGCTGTAGAAAACCCTAATCGATTTACGCGGGAGCTCTCGTACGAAACGATCTAGCTTTTCGTATAGCACAGTTGCTTTTGTGCCATGAACGAGCAGCTAGCGGCTCTTTGCCGAATCACGACCAGCATATATATACATATATATAGGAGAGGAAAAACAAAGTACTTTATCTCTAGCACCAGCTAGGTCTACCGTAAAGATTTATGGATTTCTTTTGAAAGTAGTAACCTACTACAGATGGCCATTATACCTTCAAAGTTTCTGTGTGTTCTGCTTTTCAACTACGCTACAGTGGAAGACGTTTGGAAACGTGGATAATTATGAAATGGGTAACATTTGTCTATAGCTATTCCTTATCGTTGTTCAAAACCGATGTACTACTATCTTACGTTAACAGCAACAAACAACCCGTCTAAGTATGCGCGTCCACTGAGCGTGGCGCCGTCGCGTTCTAGCTACACTCGTTGTGTATTGATTAGATAATGAATGAAAGCCGCGTCGCTGGAATTAAAAACACCCGTAACTATTTCAATTTTGTTTTCAGCCCGAAACACACGAAGCTGTGGTTGAAACTGTAATGAAAGTTTATATATCTTTATGCTATCTAACTAACATTAGGCGATACGATAAAACTCTTAATGACAGACTACGGCGGCATCCATGTAACATTGTTGTTATTTAGTAGTAACAACACTCGCTAACTAACTAAACACTTTTTATAGGGGCACCTTCACAACGATGTTTTGGCAAAAACAGGTTTAGATGATAGACTTCGTGGTGGCTTTTTGCTATATATATATCTAATGGCCTCTCTATACATACTTCTTTGATTTTCGCTGCTCATGCTAAATGAGAAGAGGCAGATTTCGGTGAGACCAAGGCATGCAAATAAGCAGAAGCTCACTTTTATTTTTATCCTCGAACTTATGAGGTAATAAAGGTCATGTCGTTACTAAGCGCCGTTGTAGCAAATGACTCCTTCAGTTATATATGGAACACTGATTTGTAAACGATGAGAGCTGCCAGGTCCATCTACGCCACCACTGCCTGAACCCCACGTACCATCGTACAGTCGCATTAATGCACGTCAGTGATGGTTGCTAAAAAAGGCTCATTTCTAATACACAAGGCAAATACACATTGGCTTCATGAAGAATGAACAACAGCCGGTACAAAATAAATGCGTCTACTGTAAATTTGCAGACGTTTTGAAAACGTTACGGCCGACGCGACGCTTGTCAACGGCATCGGCCTATCTTTAAGCCCGAAACACACCAGTAAGGACAAATGACAGGCAATTTTTTCCAAGACTCACCCGAGACGCTATGCTTTCTTTCTATTTATTACAGCAACCATTGGTAGAGATATTAGAAATATCTCTATCAATGGTTGCTGTAAACATGAAAGTGATTTAAAAAAAAAATAACGAAGTAAACTGTTTCTAGTATTACTGCTCTATTAGCTCAGCGGCAACAACAGTGACTCAAATACAGGCGGGAGCTAATCACTGCAATGGATATAGTTTTAATCGGTTAACTACTCAGACCAGTCGGACGTTCATATTGGTGTTATCGACTTTTTGGATCGGGTTATCCTATGGAATTCTCCTTTCACGTCAATTCGTGGAATTCGCCCGTTGGATTTTCGTTAATTTCGTATTGATTTCTTAAGGTTTTCGGTAGGCGCTCGGTTGGCCGACGGCTCGAATCAGGTAAGCAAACAGCTGGCGTCGAATATCGCCTGCGTAGATGGCCGTTGTTCATGCTAGCGCCGTCGATTCGCGGCCGTCATGCTTTCGTCACTATTACCGCCGCCCCTGGCAAAACTAGCAGCTGATTTGCGACAGCGCTGGCCATCATGGGGGGTAAGTAAGGTCCTACTTAGCGACAAATTTAAGGTAGACACCGAAACGTGAGCAATAGTTGATTTAGGGACGACCGTCTATTACGACGTAGCTAGTACCATCTATTGCGCGCTGATGGACTTTTCATTGTGGATGCACTCACCGAAGCAACTGACGCCTGCCTGTCTGTCTGCCTGTCTGATCGCTATATTCAACTGTAACCGTTTCTCGATTCCATCCTTCTCTAATAGCTGCTCTTGTAACAGTTCGTTACGTCTGCGCAGGCGCACCAGCCGTGCACGACCGTGTGGGGCACATATTTTGTAGCGACGTCGTGTTTAAGCATCGCGGCTATCACCGGGTGGTTCTAGGCGCGGCGGCGGCGGCGGCGGGCACGTGTGGAAGGAGTTAGAAACCAAACGACGCCGCGAAAGCGCGACCGCGTCAATACTATACTGCTATCGCTTACGTTACGTAAACGGTAAAGGCACAGTCGCTCTTTCTGTTTTGTCGCGCTTCTTTTTCGGCCTCACTGAAATTTCTCACGCGATCCTACGGTTGCTTAGTATCAGCATGTGGTAATAGATGCAGAGCCGGAACGCCTTCTTGGCTAAAATCGTGAGTGGCTCGTGATCGAAGTAGCTTCTGACGTGTGGTCTGTGATGTAAGGAAGGTAAGATAGGCGATAACTGTGCTTTGGAACGAGAGAGAAAGCAAGGGAGAGGCGAAATTGAAGCAATTTATGGCTGATGCTGCTGCTGTACCACAACGTTATTTTTGCTCTGTCATCTTGACGCTTACATAGTCTAACCCGAGCTCCCTGTGATCAGGGCCTGTGTGATTTGGGTACCCCGTACGGACATTCGATGCATTGAGCTGCTGGGATCAGAGCGTTTGCGTTTGAGCCGAAGTCGGTCGATCTAAATCGAAGTAACGACTCACTTTCTCCAATGGTCAGCGACCGATCAGCCGCACTCTCTGATCAGGCAGCTATCGGCGGCTGACGAAAAACTGTCTGTGTACCTTCCGTCCTACAGGGCTTCGGGTAGTGTTGCGTGATTGTTGTTGTTGATAGCGTGATAGGTGACAGGCGAACCCCAGGCTCGGGCAGGACAACGTAAACAGGCCAACAGGAAATCCCGTAAGTTAACTAGCGGCAAGCTGTGTAGCTAAACAGACATCGTTTCCGCCAATCGAATGCGGATGTTTGTAGAATTTAGTAAAGAAGCAGTCTGATAAGACTTAAGCTTAAGAAAGTAATACTTACCGGCGTTAGTACAGACGTATCCAACCATTCGAAGTGTCCTAGGAATAATGTGTATAAAATGTGAATGATACGAAGTGACACAGCGGTACGCGTCATTTTGTTGTTTTTATTTGGTATGCACATAGTGCCTTCATGAAAACGTCGACTTTTGTTATTAATATCCAAGTAATTTAGCTGAATTCGCTTGTGTTTACCCTACAGCCAGTGCTTTTTAGAGGTCTTTAGCACATTACTTCTACCTTACCAAGCAAAAAAATACGGACAACAAATATGGTTATTATTTGTCGACCCACAAATTTACTGTTTATTAACTATTTGTTATATGAATGCCTCAGTTGGTTCATCTATGATCAGCTAATAATCCTAATTCTACTTCATTCTTCACATGTTAAATGTGGCTAATGTGTAAAAGAACACATAAATAAATTGTCCAGAAACTTTTTAAACTATGCGATACTGTGACTTACAATGTCGGCGAACGCTCACGAGCTTTTTGAGCTATTCTCTCTGATACGTTAATTCAAGCACACATCAGTAGCAGCGGGTTCAACACTTATCGGGTAACATCACAAGATTACCTATAAGATATACTGTGTTCTATCTAAGGTGTGTAAAGTAGTTGAGTAAAGCGCGCACTTAACCGAAATCATGTACGGTACGGTAACATTAATGGCTCCTATCCATTGAGAGTACCTACGTTAACTTATCACTCGTGTAGGGTTTTCTAGATGTTCGTTCGCCTTTTGCGTTTGTGATCATGTCTCGAATACGTCGGCGATCCTCCAAAGACGGCATAATAACAAAAAAATAGAACGATACAGCATGTCTATTTTTTAGCTTTTCCGATGTGCCTCCAAAGAAAGCTCAGCGAACCGAAGTATAACCCTGAGGCGAGATCGCGCTCTACGGTCGACGCTGAATTGGCGTCAACGCCAATTGTTTGGAAATTAACTGTACTGCGTGCATAAAAAAAAAGTCGTCATCTGTCAGTAAAGCTATGACATCATGCTTATTTGTCAAGGTTAATTTTTTCTTGCGCTCTGGAAATCGGCTTTTGACTTAATGTTGTGCCGCCGTGATAATGTGTAAACGCAGCATCCTTTAAGGTCCACTCTCAGTTACCACAACTGTGATAAACGAGACTAGAAATTATTCAGTACTTTCGTTTACAGTCGGTTTTGAATAAAACTGTAGTCGTTTATGATACAATTTTCCATGAAAGCGTTAAAAGCCGACCAAGTTAAGAGAACGGATGTTCTTCATCAGAACTACTTGAGAACATTGACACCCGCGAAAATTGTAAATATAATCGATAATACATTTCTTGTATTCTTATGAACGAGCTAAGTCGTTGTTTACCTGTTTTCTTACAGCAGACACTCTTAACTGGCCGTTAACCTGCCGATGTGGGCTGTATCCTTCGGACAACAGATAGATTACGGGTCCCGCCGGCGGTGACAGCCAGCTTGACCCATAGTATTATCCTAAAAACTTCTGCGGTCGAAAGCACCTATTAGCAATGCGGCCGCCCAGGTAAGGATCCGTAATCCGTTAAAAAAAATGTCCCGTCATCTATGCTGAAATCTGCGGCGTAGTGTCTTAGCTCACAGGTCTAGCCGTCCCGTTAGCTTAGCTCTGAGGTCACAAGTTTACGCTTTGCTACGTGCTATTTGAAGGTGCACTGCTGTCAGATTTGGTTCAATTAAGGATCGCCGCCAATAATAGTCCTGACCATGAATTGAAAGATTCTTAAGAAACGCTTCACGTTTTAAGTAGTACGTCGCCCACAACAGCTACGGCGGTGTGAGGACCCAACCTTGCGGATTATTTCTGAGAACGCCTGTTCTTGTGTACATTTTTTTGGTATAATACACTTTCAGCATCTGCTCTCGTGCATCTGCTAGTATATCGTAACGACGAACAGCATCCGCTGTCGAGACATCTTTTTAAGCACCGGCGTAACATACGACGCAGACTCTTAGAAGCTGAGCCGACCGGTTGGATAAGTGTCACGGGCATCCTTGTGAATCGTGTGTGTGTCTCCGTATGAGCAGATGAGCTTGCATGGGCCGTCCCTTCCCCGTGTGCGAGAAGGCTTTATTGAAATGCAGTAGCAAAGGGGGACGGGCTAGTCAAATCAACCATAAGTGGCAAATATAGCCCTGGCGCGATCTACTAAGGAGCAATAGGAAGTCGAATGTCGATCTCCGTTTAAAAGGACTCATACATTGCTGCCACACGCGCTAAGTACTCGTTATTATTTATCTAGTAGCTCAGATTAGGTCCCAGCTGCGCTCTCCAACGGTGACATTGTAGTGCAATCTGGTGAAAAAAACACTGACAAAGTAGAAAGAAGTAAACAAGCGTCAAGGGTCGCTACTGGCACCAGGTTGCTTAATCGTCACTATAGCGTCTAATGATGGCCTGGCGTCAGCAGTAATAGTATAAAGCTGCTATCGGATATGGGAGTTCGTTCATTTTTGGTAGAGTGAAATAACACGAAGCTTCGCAGTCAATAATTGTCTTTAGAGAACAAGCTTTTAACAACTCATCAATATGTCAACCCGATGTATAGTGAAAACTGACACAGCACGGGAGGTTCTATCCGAATTCTGTGGAACAATGTTGCTAACGGTAAGTGCTCTTAAATCAATTTACTAGGTACTTTCCCAGTTACAACGTATTTCCTTCCAGTAACTTTCGCATTAACTGCAGAGAACTAACTGTGTGGCGCATTTAAACGGTCGCGTTCAACGGTCGCCAAATCATTACTTAGCTCAGCCGATTTTTAAAATCATTTATTTGAAGGTCTTTTCGAGAAAACCAGCCTGGCGGGCATTGCGCGAACGCTAATTTCCGAGTAGACCGTTAAATCACGAAGTGCAATGCTATTAGCAATTGTCACCCATATCTATAGCCGATATGAATAATAGACAAAACGGTGCGATGGTCTGGGATGGTGAAGATCCGTAAACGGTGCAGTTTGGTGTTGGGGCAATTTTCCTAACTCGGGGAGAGATATAGCTTAATCTTATTATATTCCGTAATTACTCAGGTCAGGATATCATCAACTAAGCAATTACAAGCATTTTTCTGTGTAACTGCTGAAACGATGGCACAAAAACGTACGTTGTCATAGTTGGCCGCTTTTACTGTGATTCTACATAGGGACTGTGACGAATCAGTCTTTGGATTGTTCCGAGTTCAATAGCTACAAGATCGCCAATGATTTAACACTATTGGTAACAAAATGTGCTTTGTTATGACATAATACACGACTATAATGCACAATTTACAGCAGAATTGACAGTCTTTGTGCTTTTATTATCGAGTAAAAGGCTGCGATTTCCACGCGTACGAAACTCATCTCGTTCGCATGGTCTCCGCGATAAGCTTTCAGTCAGTGTGATTTTGCTGAGGATTTACCTATGAATGTAAAATCTATCTATTCATTAGGTATAGATATAGAAAGGTAGAAAGGAATAAGTATGGGTACGTATTTTCATTTTAACCTATTTTTTCAGTTCAAGTCCTTTGGGGAGAGAGCTACTTTTTAGATGAGCGTACAAAGATGAACTTGCCAATGTTATATACTTGAGTCGAAACGGCTGTACAATACGTTTTCGTATTGGCGAAAAGTACAATAATACTTCGGCTATATAGCATCAACAATGTAATCCGTTTGTTATAGGAGCCCTAAATCAACTGGCCTATTACAATTTGTTCATAGTAGGCGGTTAGAGATCTCAACATTTCATATGTAGAAGGCAGTCAAGTAATTCTAGGTCGGAAATTGTAGTTCTAGTCCCCACACTATATCGTGTACGATCACACAGAGCATTTATTTGTTTCATTGACAAGAAGTTGGCAGTGTTCAGTAAATTTGCAGTTGCTTCCGTCACACAGTTGTATGTATAGATAGCAGTGGGTGTGTGTGGTCAAAAGTTTTTCCTGCCGTCAGAATGTTTTTACACGAACCGACAAGTTTATGAAGATCTCCAAAAAAAAAAAAAGGAAGATTATAAAAGAGCTTCACCAGATATAACTTGACGCGTATGTTGTTGGCATTTTCATTCATTGTCTATTTTTCTTTGATTTTTTTTCTGTTTATCACATGGTCGAGTATTATACTTCGTTGGAGGCCTCTTTTTTTTTGCTCGATGAGCATTGTCCGGCCCGTGAAGCTTGCTTGGAGTTCGAGAGGTCGTCGAAAAGGGTTGGGTAAAGGACACGCTGGAAAATAACTACAGAAAAGCCAGCAAAATGTATCGCAGAAACACTTTGAAAGCATAACGAACATAAAGCGTGGAATAATAAACGATTGGATATCCGAACCTTTTCCGTTATCGTTCAATTATCTCCAAGGAAATATCTTTTCTAAAATTAGTTTTTAGTACGTTCTACGTTCGATAGACGGCAAGTTACCTTTTTAACGTGTGTCAGTTTGTTATACTCCATTGTCTCGTTATTTTTGCTTACTCAAATTTGTATATGGTTTTTATTTACTATATCTATTTATTATTAAAAAAAAAGTGCAGCACTGTTAAAAGGGTTATCGCCGAGCAGGTTGGTCTCGCTTTGTTTGTGTAATTAAATTGTTTTATTCGAACGCTGGTGCACCATAGTTGGCGCGATAGGCCCGAATTATCCTGAAACGTTATTGTCTTGTGATGAAGCAAACTGTAACAGCGTAGTTATTATAACACCAAAAAAATTCTCATCGTATGTTCTAAAAATAAAAAAAAATCAGCTAACGGTAATCGATCTGGCGTCTGAATGTCTATGGTCTGTCGCCATTTATTTGTTTATAGTCGGCGTCTAATTATTTCCAATGTTGGAACTGTAGCACATTTTCATATATATATAATATATATATATATATATAATATATATATATATATTCATATAAGGTAAATTTGTCGTTCAGTGGACAGTCAACAAGCAACTTTGACTTTTATCGCTTATTTTATTTCACGATGACGTTCAAGCTCGTTACCATCATTCCGCATTCGTAGACCAGATCAGTGTAACAAACCTAGTTATCTGACGCTGAAAAAGAAAAGAGCTATTTTTGCCAGCTAAAATCATATCGTTTTCGAAGAGAGCGAGAGACAGACAAAGAGCAGACAAACAGAACTCTGTACACGAGCCGAAAAAGGTGCGCTGCTGGTAAATGAGGTTTAAGGTCGTGACGCTAATGGAAGCGTTAATGGAAAAGTTTCATCTGCTCCTTGGCTTTTATCAAGAAATGACTAAAAAGCTATATCGATTGACTTGGTTGAATATTCATTTTTACGCTTTTTCTATCCCATGTCATTGACGGAAGCAAAAAGAAACATATTTAATACGGTTGGCAATGGCAAACGTGAATTCGATGATTTTACACGTAATCGTAGACGAGCGGGCGTGTTAGAAAATGTCGCCCAATTACCCTACGTGTCGCGAATAAACAAACTCGTGCATGTACAAACGGATAAGATGGGTTAAATTAGTTTATATATGTAGTACAGTTAAGGTGCTAACACGCACGTTATTGGCAGCTGTCCTTCAGTCTCGTCCTTGAAGACGTAAGGACCCTAAATGTATTTTTCTGGCCTAGCTAATAAGAGAATTACAACGGTAGACTAAGGTTAAATATTGAGAGACAGATTCTGTTGGAATGAGCTGCCCTTTAAGCCTCGCTGTGTCTCGTTTTTAGGACCTAGTGATATACACGCGTAAACACAATTTGACAAATAGGTAGTTTTTCCTTACGACACTAATTAAGACCTCACACGACTCGATGCAACAGCCTAAACAAAAAGACGTTGAGACGAATTGCATTGCGTAAGATAGACTGAAATAGATTACCTTGATAGATGACCTTGAAGTCCTCTTTGAAAGTGAACTTTTCCTATTTCTTAACGAACATTTATGATAAATGGGCACTTATTCTATCTCGAATGGCTATAACAACAGCTTTAGTTGCCTGACAATTATAATTTTTTTTCACGGTTCAAAGTATACAATCATACGCTAGAAGAGCGCTTTGTTCGAGTACCTAGAAGCGTTGCTACGTGCATTGTAATTGTTATCTCAACCCATATCAACCCAATCTGTAGCAGTATTAATCCCCTCGTAAGCAGACCCTCTTAAGGCACACGTATACGTTGGCCGCTCGAAGTAAGAAATTTGTCAATACCTAATAGGCGTCTTTGATAGTATTAGTCTACTTAGTCCTTAAGATGATGTCCAACATAAACGGCGATGAAATTTTTTCCTTAAGGTCCAGTGCGTACATTGGAGAACGTCTTGAAACTTTATAGATGTCAATATATGCCATTTTGGCTAAATACGAGTAACAAAAATCAGGTGGTCCGGTTTTTTTAACTAGATTTTTTCAAATTTATGGATTAATTTGATTCAGTCGCCACCAAATATATCTAGCAAGCCGTTGTAATCGAGATTGGAGCCTCACATGGCCATCTATTGTGTGTCCGTCTTTTCTTTGATCGATTAAAGATCGTTGGAAGTCGCAAAAACTTATCATGAAGTTATCATGACGGATAACTAAAACTGAACGTTTCGTGCTTTACGTCCGATACAGGCGAATGGTATTCCATTCCACTTGATCCGGTCTGTTGAATTTTTGGTGCATTGAACTCATGCAGAAGTACCAACTGCGAACGTTTAAACAATACCCGACGTCCATTTAATACTGTATGTTCAGAAGGTTATGTTGTGCTACCATTTTTATTTTATTTTCGTATTTTATGGTGGTGAGACTCGCTATCAGTACCGACACGTCCACTTAAGGCCTATTGTCTACTCCACACACAACGACGTAACACTCGCCCACGTTAACAATGGACAGTTTACGAATGAACTCGCCTATAGAGCTGTTATTTCGGGTGTTAATACCAGCGTTCGAAATGGCTATATGAGCAACTATTGCATGATATATTACAATGATCTTTTTATTTTTCAGTTGTTTAATATCGCCGGACCGTTGAATGTAGCGATCTCAGGGATCTCAAACGCATTTCTCGCTAATGTGGCATGTGCGGGTGGAGTATTCCTCGGCATGGCGACGGCCATGTCAAATTCGGGCGCCCATCTTAACCCAATTGTTACTACGTCTTTCGCGTCTCGTGGGCTATTCCCGTGGAAAAAAGCTCCACACTATATAATCGCCCAATATCTGGGTTAGTTAGCTAAGTTACCTTTTCAAGCAGATTCTGACACGTTAAGCAAAATGTGCTTCGGTCGATAATATGCTATAGCACCTTAATTATTAGTTTATTTTTACCAATACTACCAACAACTACTAATACTATTTGTAGGGTACAAAACTGAATAAAATATTTATGCAGCTAGTTTTGGTGGGAGTAACCAGTTCACTCGAAAACGAATCAGTCGATCTCACCACACGTAGCACAGTACATAAAGCCTGCAAGCTTTATAAATCACAAATCTCTGGAATACTAATGAATAATATATAAATCTACTTTATACATACTGGAACACAATATCAATAAGCTGGGCTCCCTTAGCTTTTTTCAAGGCGGTCATTCGCTTCGCCCAGCTCTTGGCCACTGCATAAAGCTGGCCCTCTTTCTGAAATTTGGCCTTATTTTTATTTAAATATATACACCGTAAATTGTCGTAGGCTAGGACCGCTCGGGCTATCAACAATAGGGGGGTTTACGCTTGAATAAAACCGATGTCTAGGGTGGTACGTGGGCCAAGGTCATTGTTGGTCCTTTTTTTTTAACGAGGCTATAAACTCTGTCCGCTATCAGGAGATGGTTTCAGGCATCCTTGTATCCAAATCGTTGAAAAAGTTCGTGAAATACGTGACCAATAACGTCGTCGCGTTATTGAAGGATTACCACAGTGAACAACCGGGGGAGCGTCCAATGGCCCCTAAATCATGTGCCATAACTCCGCTCGATTTTTTTTTTTGGTGTGCTACAGCAGTACACGGACGGTAAACAAACACAACGAAAATGAGCGCGCTTCTGTTTAGGAAATAAAGAAAGTGTAGGAAAAAAGTAGGGACAAGTTTGTTGAGCAACTGCCGTGAAGGAATTCAAGGGAGCCCACCTAATTGATGTTGTATTCTATTAAAATGTTAAATGTACAAAGCTTGTAATAAAAAAAAAATATTTTCCTTTGCTGGCGCCATTTCACACTAGCTTTCAATAATATATAAGTATAAGGACGAGCTTATTGCGCAAAACTTAGTCACGATAATAAGTCTAAAGGTCGTCCGTAGTAACGTATCTTGGCCTTACTCAGCAGTCATCACAAATCCGTTCGAGATGAACGCTCGGCGGCACTAACTCGATACCACTTGTTTGGCAATCTTTGTTTAGTTTGAGGTGAAAACCCATTGACACGTTTGTACACGGCGACGATGACAGTTAACAGGTGACTATATGAAATTGAATATGGCTGAAGTCAACCCTTTAAAGCACCCATCCACCCAGTTGTAGTAGTGCCATCCTAGACCTTGCCTAATAAACAACGTAGTTGTCTTCAGTGTGCTGAGAAACAGCTAAAACTCGATACGGCCAACGGCTCATCAACGCACGCGCATAGGCTCACAATCGACTACGAAAATGTATTTCCGCTTGTTAACAAGTGAGGTAAGGCCATAATGTCGTCGTTACGGGCAGGACGGCCAGGGGCACCCTCCGTTCACCTATTCAATGTGGCACGCGGCTGTCTCGGCAGCAGAACTGGATTATGTGTGAAATGGTATTTACGATTTTCCTCATCAATGGTCTATTCAGTTTATAGAATAGCCTGCAAACATGATCCATAAGGTAACTCAAATGACATACAATTTGGATGATGAGTGCATTGGATGCTTAATTATAAAAATGATGATGAAATCGATCTGTTAAACGTTTTGAATGCCACAGACAAATACATTCGGTCGATGTGCACGTTTACACAACAGACGATCTACTACCTATGCCACCCTGCGTAAACCTATATCTTTATAGAAGCACCGATCACTCGGTTGGTTGACGCAGAATCTTTTATCTATCCGATAATATACTGAGCTGTATAGATATAGGCGTTTGTGTTACCGATATGGAATGCTTTCGTGTACGTTCCTGACCCTCGTTGGCCCATCTTTTACAGTATCGGGGAACCTGTGCGATGGATTGGCTAGTTGAGATATTTTTGCCTGTTGTATGGTATATGTCAATCCGCAAAATTTTATTCTTGTATTTTTTAAATTTTTTGTATTTGTTTGTAAAAAAAAGACTTTAACGCTAAGGCAGTCGTTGACTATTGGGGGATCGTGTTGCTATGGTGATCTGTTGCAGTTTCAAGTGTGAGAACGCAATATGGCTTAGGGTATATCCTATTAGGCAAGCAGGGTTTAAATCGAATACGAGGGAACAATACAACGAATCAAGACACCAAATAGTGCTATCCACTCTAGCAGCTGTATCACACAAGTGGAGTATAACCGATCAAAAGCGTAAAATTAGTTAGCACGAAAAGCAATGTAATAAGGAAATGAAGACACGACAGCGCGAAGATCTGAGGTGGCATGGGCTTACGATCGCTGACCGCGCATTAGATAACAACTTTACTCTAATGATAAAATGGTCCTCGACCTTTTACTAGCGCATGCGCCGAAAGCCAAATATTTGGGTTTTAGTGGTCGGTCGGCAAAAGGCGCTATATATATATATATATATGAATGCATTTGGCCAGTCATTCCGGGCGGGACAGGGATCGGAGAACGGACTCCCAACAAAACTAGTATGCATCTCATCAGAAAATGGTTCGTTTAAGACCAAAGCTAGCACCTATCAACAATGAAACAATCGACTAATTAACACATTGATTTGCCAATCGCCTGTTCCTGTTCAGCACCCACTTATGTCCCATCTGAAAGCTATTCTCAAACGTGAAACAATCTAAAGGCTAGTATTTAAAAATATGCCAATCAATATAGCAGCTAATAGCAAATGCGATATTACAAGGATGGCCGAAACCTATGTAAGGCTGCGTAAGAAGATAACGTTTCACACGCATAGCCCTTCACTTACTGAAAGTTTACTACGAATGTGCACAACGATGAAATCATAAGTTTTCATGGAAAACTCATTTCGCCACATATGTAGGCACCCATTGAGCTGTATTTTTTGTTCAACTTCGTGAATATCAAGCGCGAGTAAAAAACACGAAATAGAAACTTTTCTGTCTATAAAGAGACGGTGGTTTAGTCCTTTATTTTAGTGCACGTACGATACAGAGTAACACTACGTAGGACAGAGTAACACTAAACTGGTTTTATATATTATAAATCCTTGCGGATTTTAGCTCAGTGACTCCAAACCTAGTGACTCAGTGACTACCAGATCGATGGGGATGTAGCGCAATCAGCGATGTGATTTGACTACATCAGCATAGATCTAGGTATGTCGAATACAGATCATTTGTCACATTTAGGGGTGAACAGTAAGTTCTCAATGGGTCCCTAAGTAGTTTTTACGGAAATGTCAAATTTATATGTGTTCGACCACAGCCACCGTGGGTAAGAAGTAACGCTAACGTTGGCTTGCTTCTTTCAGGTGCTTTTGTTGGAGCAGTCATCACGTACATGAACTTTGCCGAGGGGATCAACAAATTCGATGGAGGCGTACGTGTCTTTGGTGGAAGTCCCAACGCTACTGGGATATTCTTTGCCACTTACCCCAATGCTGGCGTATCAATTATTACCTGCATCTTCGACACGGTATGATTACGTACTCTATTTGTATTTGCATAACTCCAAAGTTTGCGTGTTTCCCTCCGCCGAGGTACGAACTTTTATCTTATATATATCTAGTTCATGATATGAAGGCTGCCTTATACTAGAAAACTGTCACATACTTGTGGAGAGAAACAAATTGTACTGGAATATGTTAGTGTTAATTTGTCTTGCATCTATCCGTAATAATAACGCCTATACTTGTATGTGCTACAGATGCTCTGCAGTGCGCTTTTGCTATATGCAATTTGCGCCATTACGGACGAATATAACTCGAGAATCCCTATCTATTTGTGGGCTCCGTGCGTGTCGTTCATGGTCATGATAATCATATCGACCCTTAGCTACAATTGCGCTGTGGCAATGAACCCCGCAAGGGATTTGGCACCCCGACTCTTCACCGTAATCGCTGGTTACAGTTTTGAGGGCTTCTTGTAAGTACTATTGACGTTCTCCAAGCGCTCTTATCAAATCTTGTTACTGTAGACTCCCTTAAAAGAGACCAGGTATGTCCCCTGGACCCCTAAGAGTGAACGCTGAATCAATTATTTTTATTAAATAATTTCTTTCTTAAGGCTAAATATCTTACACCTCTTTTTGAAAACAAATTCATTTTAGTTTTAATCAAAAACAAAAAAAAATGCAAGAAAACAGAGGTTCGACTATCTACGGGCCAAACTTTTTGGCAATAAAAAAATAAAACCTTGAATTTAGATGAAATTCCTAATAGTGAATCTCGCGAAGACGGAAATACGGACTGCTTCCTATAACTTTATCACGCGTTTTAGTGATGATTACCATTTACACTCTGTGCATATATAAACATATTCGTAAACACAGTGCTAAAAATTATTCACAAATAATCTCAGAATATCATAATATAGTTCCGGTACGGTGTAAGGCTTCCTAGGGAGTGTACCTGGAAAATTGTCCCCATTTAGAGCAGATAGTTCTCAATGGATTTTTGTAAGTCCGCTGTATTCGGTACTAAACGGTAACTACGAAGCATTTGAACAATCTATTCCTCTCACGTGTCCCTTATCGCTTTTGTGCTGAGAAAGTCAACGTCGACTTCAACGAATTTACATTTCCGGTCGCTGAAATTTTCCGTGAAGGAAGAAGTGCGCGAAAAGTTGGAGCACATTCTGAATTTTTCACCGAGAAGCGGCGGCGTGTTGGCAAGAAACTAGGCGAGTCTGTCTCCAGCTGAATGGTGCAGTCCCAATGTACTTTTTTTTAAAACGATGCCTTTAGCCGCATCTAGGTGCTTAGTGTTCTCTATGGTGAAATTCTATCGTATGACGCCGTTCACTTCTGCTGCTACTGAAACGACTTTCAAGATGGAAGAGACGTTGAGATGGCCAGGCACTGACAATTCTTAGTGATGACTATCGCACCCGATGCCTGTTTATACTATTCACCGGCATCTGATATGGAACTGCACCCATCGTACGCTGTGCACAGCTCTGACTGCATGAAACTGTTGACTTAACTCAGAGGGATGCCCAATATAGCAAAGGTATCTTTAGCTGCCATCTTGTGTCCGTTTCTGAACTTCCATCTTTATGTGAGGTTCATTGTTAAATCCGTGGTAAGTGTATGCAGTCCAGCTAACGCTTGCTATATCTAAAACCTATTAGACGATTAGGTGATCTGTTCACAGAAGTAAGCTCGGGTAAGTCCCTTGACAGCGAAGAGAACAAAGACTTAGTGTCTTCTTATGCCGGTCCAATAGGTTTGAGTAAATAACGTCAATTCTGGGACTCCATTGTCGATCGTAATCGTTTTCTTTAAATGTGGATGTTAGCAAATCGGCCATGCTTGTAGTTAGTTTTGCTTTTGCGGAAATTGTTAATACTGAATCCGTAGACATGAAGTCAAATGCTGCTTACCAGTCCACAAATACAGCATAATTGATGAAAGATCCGAATAAATTTCCGCATAAAAATCCGCGTAAAATGCTTAATATCCATTGGGAGAATCCTAGGGACCGTGGCCTCCTTCTTTCTAAATGTATGTTGCTCTTTGAAAATTCCGCTCACCTTTTCCAGGACCTGCTCAAAATTTGTGCTAAAAGGTAGAGAACAAGCCTATAGCGCACTTGAAGAGCGCACTAGCTCTGCAAGAGAGCTAGTGCGCTCTTCAAATGTTTGCTTCAAGCTGTCTGGCTCGACTATTCTGATCGAATGCAAGCTTTCCAGCGCTTTCATCACATCAAGGACTATGCATTCCTTTTCTAGGACTCGCCATTTTCTTATCATTGCGTCATGGCACGCTGTAATAAGTGAACCGAGCCACTGAGGGATAATGTAGTTTGTACAGAACATTCTGATAAAACGGTCAGTAAGTATAGATGCGTTGCAGTACATCTTCACAGATAATTTGTGCAGATCGGCCGGATTTCCGCCTGGAGCCTAAAGTCTTCGCACGTTTTCGCACCATCAAACGCAGACTATGTCTGTCTAGACGAGCGAGACGTGTACCGCACGCTGAATAATATCTAGGCAGTGGGCATAGATGTCGGTGTCGATTAAGCCAGGTACCGGGATTACTCCATGGGCGCGTTCTAGCAGTTGCAGGTCCATCCCGATAAGCACGTGCTCTTACCAATATCCGTTCTCCTTTAGTGAGTCTTCGGAAAGAGACCCTCTTTCTGCTAGCATTTTTGGTAAAGACATATATAACAGAGTTCCCTGCGCAGCTAGGCAGTGTGGGCACCTGCTGTGAACTGACTGTCCAACAGTGTTGTTCATTTAGCGTGTTCCGGGATGCTGTCATGGGACGGTCTAATCAAGTATAGGAGCACCCAGCCACCATAATAGGAGACTCATTATCGGTTGAAGACATGACCTGAATTCCACTAACGAGCTCGTGTCAAAGTCGAGTCACTATCCGTAGGACGTACCTAAGACGTCGCCGCCTCCGGACGCCGGACAGCCCTACCATATTAGTCATGGCTAGTTAGTGTCAGTGCGAGGTCTCCGATTTGGCGGTTATAGAAGACTAATATTCGGTCACTAAGACGGTTGGGCCTGGCTACTCTCCAAAATACAGTTGCACAATTCTTAGCGTCTCCTAAAGTTTCGCCATGGTCCCCGTCTTCGTGTGCGAGCGTGGGACTAGTTGCATAATCAAGGATTTCTGTGGTAGGACGGGACGGGTGCCTCACTGCGTTTGGTTCAGGAAGTCTCCAATCGTGGGGCCACCACTGGTTCGCCTTAAGATATTCAGATGTCGTTGTAAACTTTTTTGAAGTTCAGAGGGGACGTTAACCCGATCAGGGCTTGTTGTTTGAAATTGACTCGTCTCTGCAGGCGACGAGAAAGGCTGATAAGGCGTGTTGTTCGCCCTCAGAAAGCTATTGGCGTATTGATCTTCACCCCCTAAAGAAAGCTTAGGTCACCTGGCAATGTTGTAAGCAATCCTTTTAGCAACTCTCCGCTGTAGCAGTATCGCCTGCTGGTAACGAATTACGGCTTGTGATGTTATTTGCGAGGCTGTCGTTGACGGACTTGATCGAAAAAAGAGGCCGACACCACATCGAGTTTGAACTCTGAGGAGCGCGATCTCAATGTTTATGCAAAGGTTTTTAATGTCGAGACAAATCCCCTTCTTCGAACTCCACACGTTCTTCATGTATATTGCTTGGAGAAAGCTTATTATCGGGCCTATCGTGTCGAGGCATTCGTTTCTCTAAAAACATGTCCATCCTCAACTGAAGCCTGTACGACTATAGAGCCTTTCTGGCTAGTAGCTTTTGTGAGGCCGGCTTCAGTCCATGCTGTCGCCGAAAGCCAGCACTAACTTCATCGGCAGGCTTATTAATGACGGAAAACTCAGCTGTTCCGATTGTTTTTTTTTTGTTTTTTTAAATTGCTCGCCGCATTTCTGGTTGTCGATTCTATTTTTCAACACTTGAGGTCAGCTACAGCATGCTGTAGTGCTTTCATGCGACGAAATAGAAACGTGATATATCGGTAGTGTTATTTAAGCACCGCTTCGCCAGTAGCATTGAGCTGCGTGGTACACTGTTATGAAGAATCAATTTTACGTAGAAAAATTATTAGTTCTCGGTAATATTGAGTCACATAAATATACCGATTTTGATTTGGAATATGACTCTATTTTAATAAAGTGAAACAGATCGATATCTTTGTTTACCTCATGAAATTGAAGTACGGTTAGTGATTTCATCAGTTGATATATTTTTGGCCTTGACACTGATGTATTACCTAGACGGTTAAAAATAGATAAGATCTTATTTGATTGTCAACGTTCAGAATTTTCTCACAGCGCAGATTAAGATTTTTGCATCGCGCAAATAAGATAAGGTCATTTAGATTGTGGAGTTTCTGCTAGGACTGCTAACGATAGATATGTCTGTCTACTGAATGTGTATGAGCGTTGCTTTTGGATCGCCGAGATCGTTGTTTTGGTGTTGGCCAATAGATGTTGTCTATATTGCACTGGGGTCTACAGAACACGCACGCAGGACACGCATACTGCGCGTAACCGTAAATCGATTCAGAGGAAGAGAGACGAAATGTATATACTTTAAAGTATATATATTTCGCCTCGGTATATTTCTCTATTACAATCTATATATATATACCCACAGAGTTTATTGCTCATGACACTATTTCAAGATGTAATAAGACGTCTACAAATAAATCTTATTTCATCCCATTTTCTTAGGCCACACGGAGGCGTATTTTGGGTTGTGGCCACATTTGTTCCGCATCTAGGCGGCCTTATTGGAGCCCAGTTCTACCACTTCTCCATCAGTCTCCAGAAGCCCGGTGAGCAGGATCGCATTGAAGAGGCCGCTGATGGGAAACTCATGAGGAGCAACACCTCTGAGTGATTTATGGCTTTCCACCGATATCTCTAGAGTCGGAGACAAAAACGACTGGCTTTCTTCCAGCATGGCTAAATGTTAAATGTTCAGCTAAAATTGCAGAGGCACGAAGTCCATGTGTCAGTAGTAAGGGACAGTCACTTAGCCAAGAAAACGTTCCATGAACGTCGATTTCACGCCAACTTCAATTTGACTTATTTTCTGCATGGATATCGGATACATGGGGAAGATTTTAATACCGATAATATTTTGTCTGAACGCCAAAGTGAAGCGAAGTTGCCAGAGGCACGATTGAGGAAAAATGGCGAACCAATGCAGCCAAACGAGGTACCTTTATCGAATACAGATCTTGGGATCGTTGAGGTCAGCGTCACTCCTGGAGATACACGAAGACTTTAGTGAATTCTCTTTATTCGTAGGCCTTTTTTTACGTATATTTGACTTTCTGCTGGTGTTAATTAACTAGACGTGATAGAACGTGATGCTCAATGTTTTTTTACATGCTTGTAAATAAAAGCCAAGCTGTCAGTTGCAAAAGGGTGGATACTTTCTACACCTAAAAGTTGTCAACAGTGAGAGTGTAGGACAGTTTATTATATATATATATATATATATATATATATATAATATAAGATACAGCAACCAAACGTATATGCATATATCATTGGACAGGGTTGAAGTCTGAAAAGATTGTATTATACAAATAAAATTATAAATAAATGTCAATATCCCTAGTCAATTTTAAGACAACTGTGTGCTGCTTTAGAAATCGTGCAACCGATAGACATTGAAATGAATGTCGACGTTCAGACCCCGTGAAGTTTTCCGCAATAAATAGAAGACGAATTTCTTATCTCTTGACCGAACGAGCGTCTCGATGAAATGCCGACAGCTTTTACTAACGAAGCACATTGATGTTAACATAGGAACAGAGCGAAGTCTAAATGATAGCTTTAGCGGGTAATACTGAGTAGGACATTCGGATTCATACACAAACATACATATTAATGAATAAACTTTCGTTAACAAACCAGCCTTAATCGCTATGTATATATAGGTTCTTCTAGCCTTGTCGGACTCCCATACGTAACTCGCTATAAAAGTTGCGTGGTCATAAGGGCATGCATTGAGGATAAGTAAGTTTATTTATTGGCGGTTTGAATAAATACCCCTTCAAACTGTACGATATCTTAAACTATTGTCGCGTACGTAAGTTTCTAGTCGCGTAAGTTTCTAGCTTTTGATTTCGAGCTTATTAGATACAGTCCATCAACAGGTTTAAAAAGATGCGATCTTACGTGTAGTACAACATAATAGGAATAGACCATTTCATACAGACCCATATATTATACTAAATATTAGATGAATTTTATCGCTTAATGTAAAAATTACTTATAGAAAACAATTAAGGTAGCCTATTAATTAATTGTGGTAGTATATTTTTATACTACGACAATTAATAAAGTGAGAGATATGTCTTCTTGATTGTTCTATGTGTTAACAAAAATGTAAATTCCGCTATTTGTATTATTAAACTAGCATGTCGCGTATCTAACACTATCAAAATGCCAGACCTATCTAAAATACCGTATATTAAAATACCGTATACAGCCAAAGGCCTTCCTGTAGCGAAAGCTAGAAGGTGCACCCTATGACACTCTAATAAACTATTCAGTTCTTCATAATTACGTTCAAAAAGGCATTCAGTGTTACGAGGTCAAAGGCGATACACGATATTATCACAATATCCAATGGGAATGTATAGCCGGTCCCCAGCTCTACATGCAAATCGATACTGTCTTTTTACTTTTATCATTAGTCATACTAGCATCATGCGGTGAAAGAGCCTGTATAGAAAAGCTAGTCTAGTTTCAATTCTGGCGATTCGCTACTTAAAATCAGATGTCTTGTTCGGCCCGCCTCAACTTCGGAACCCAACTTTGGTGACGAGTGTGAGAGAAAAACTGATCATCCGTTTCAGTGTGATAGAAATAGATGAACTACCGGAAAATAGCAACAAAACAAACGCAGTCAACCGCTAATCACTATCGCCTTTAAGGAAGAGGGGCCAGCATGGCATACATACTCTACGAATATTTCTTTGTGACTTTCTTCACGCATAGTTACTAATAACTCCGCTGCTTTATTGCGATCGATCCCATCAGAGACACAGCCCGCTCCGTTAGGTGCCATATCATTTATGTGATGTCTCTGGACCTTCTCGCGTAATGTGGTTGTGCCCATGGCATGTTTGTGTAATTTATGATAGTCGATGAACTGATCAAGTCGTCCCTCATGGAGAACGAAGAACGTGCAAATTGCGACCTCGATAAGCGATCAGTTGACGAATACGGTCAACGGAGCATACAGGCGTGGCTATTAGGCAGCACTAAACCATGACAAGTTATTCCGTCGTGCAAATGGAAATTCTTCCCCAGAAACAGGTAGCATAAAGATGCACGTAATGTATACCAAGACTTCTAAAATACGTAGCAATAAAGTCGAAACAAAGGTTAAAGTAGAATAAAAACGGGTAAAAACTCACTGGCCATAACCCTATTTGCAGCAAAATCGGACATGAATCCACCTTACGTGTACGACAAGTTTTGAAGAATAGCTCAATCTTAGAACAGCGTTCACCAAGGCAGGATTCGCACACAGTAACCCGTCGATGATTTCGTCCAATCCCAAATACAGAGTGATTTCATTGCTAATTTCCTTCATGGGCATGCGTTAAACCTACGTCACTTAAAATTCAGCCGTCGGGTTTCTCATAGGTCTACCTGAAATGTACGAAACGTGCTTTGCACACTCATACCGATCATATTAAGAGCACGAATCAGCAATATGTAATTGGCCTATAGACGGTACTGCGATTAAATAATAAAGTGCCACCTCATTTACTTCTCAATGTCCAGCTCGTTTCCAGATACGTCATAGAACCTTTGTAAAAATATTGAGATAGAAAGCATTCGATTTTATTCATTAATGTCTCAGGTTGTTCTGGGTAAAACAGACTACGCAGCCACAAAACTGTGCAAGCGAAGAAACACTAGATAAGAGAGATTACTGAAACGTGTTTATGCTCGATAGTCTTAGACTTTTATGCTAAATACGTACAACATAAGCCCCCGACTTCAGTAATGCTTTGCCACATCTCGGTAACACTGACATAGCACGAACAAATCCTCAAACAGCCGGTTAAAACAACATATTCTGTACTTCTCACCACGAGTCGGTTGGGTTTCGACTTTAAGATCAGTATCGGAACCGCGGAATGCTTATCGTCACTCGACACAAGATCATTTATAGATAATCTATCGTGAGTTTGTTTCGATGATGTCCATCGTTCACGCGGTGGTGCATGTACAGGGCACACCGGTAGCCATTAGGCTCTAAGCAAACTCGATGAGTACATGCGTTTACTGGCAGATAGCTTCATTGTCAGATAATACACTAAGGTGAGCGTCGTATTTGAAGATCGAGGTAAAACGTGCAAAATTTTGACCATTCATAGCAGACAGTTTCTGGCTAACTACTAGTATAGACTCACTGGATGCTGCTATTAGAGTTTAAAGGCAACAATATGATTTAGCGCAGAAAGCTAATAGTTGCTGACTGAAATTTTGTGGTCCCAAGTTGAATTCATCGAAAATTGGTGAAAAACAATAAGCTAGGACATCTCTAGCGAGACAACCCGTTAACAAACAAAGTTTTTTCAGAATAAAGGCTTAAAAGTTTACTATAACATGCTGACTATAACTCGGGACCTCAGAATGACGGTCGAATTGCCCTGATTGCGAAAATAAAGCAAAACATGGACAATGTTTTCTTTGTCGGATCCATACGAGATTCTCGAAAACACATTATGAAATTTTAATAGAAATACTGAAAATAAAGAAAAGATCCCTTTCAATCCGAACCCCGAATAAGTGAAATTATGGACGGTGTACCTTAGCTATTTAGTATATATAATTATCATCAACCAAAAGAACCATTTTGAAACGCATCGTCCCCATAAACGAAGTGTAAGTCGGTGTGTGCCGTTTACAACAGCAGAGTTAAAACAAAATGGCGTTAGACAAAAGCAGACCACATATACTCTTCAAATTGCTGTCAGTATAATTTCTGTTCCATATTTTCGGCCCGCTGAGTTGGTCTGAAGAGTTTCGACAATAAATACATTACTATACGACACATACTTTCATATTTAAAAATATCTTAAAGTTCTAACAACATCAAATAACGCATTGAAGCTAAACATTTCGAAAGAAAGAACGACTTACCAGTCATAGAAAGTGCCATTAAAGAGGACATCAATATGTAAAAAAAAGCGGACAAAAAATAGCTAGAAAATACTAGAAAATGTGTAAACCGAGAGAACAATAGCCGTTATCTTCAATCGTGTCTTGCTAAATTTCACACCAAGCATTTTGAAGGTTAGTTTTTAATTCTCCTTTCTTTTTCTTCTTGTGTTATATTGCTACTGTCTTTCTCTGTTATACACAACGTTGAAGGTGTAGCGTGAGAAATGTTCAAAACCAGAACTCTGGTAATCGGCACGAAACGATGACAACAAGTTTGTCTAACAAATAAAAGTAGTATTAATCCTTCCTCATTTTGTGTCGATTTTTTTATCTTAAGGATGAAATATTGAAACTCTCAAATGCATATAAATTTATGGACAAACGAGTGGAGTACGGTATTTAACAGCTTCCATCAGTTGACAACCTCTGAAAAGAAACCAATACACCAAAAATAAATTAAATATGCGTATCAACTTAAAGTTAACGTAGGTGGTATTTCCGCACTAGTTGCTTCGGTAGCAATATGCAAGACAGAGAGCTCAACGTTGCAAATTTGCCGATTAGAACATTGTTTCTAGATGGGGTGAACGAAATTACCATCAAATCCTGCAAAAAATTTATGTATAATACGATCATCGCTCATTTTTATTCTGCAATGCATAGGTGCATATACACATATAAGCGTTGATAGCTAAGCATTAGAGCTTATATGGCCGGCGTCAGAAACGGTCACATTAAGATTGTACGCCCAGCATACGCTCCGTTACCTGCCACCCAATACTGTTTTCGGATCTGTTTGTGACGACATCCGGTCCTCCAGCTAGCAGGTTCCTACTAAACGCAGAGCAATTTTTTTTTAATTTAAATATCGTTAGTTCCCTTTAACAGACGAAACTTACCTATACTTTAGCCGTAGTAAATTTACACTCACTATCGTAAATATCGACGCAAAATGCTGGCAGAGCACTCGAGCCTAAACGAAGCTAACTATCTAAATGATATCCTAAAGCTTTAAAGCAAAACTAAGCAAAGGCTTTCGTATTCGTCATGGCAGCAGATTGCGCTGGGTCGACTATACGAGATACAGTTAAATATCTAGATTCATCATAACACTCCATTAAGCTTCCGTAATGCAATTGCGATCCAGCTGCCCTTTACAAATGGGGAGACCCATAATACATTGTATTGTTACTGGATGCATACACGTACACGTTCTTTTTTCATCTAACAGCGGTTAAGGACTGCACAATAAACGTTAAGTTGAAATAGACATAACGGACCGTATGTAGATGTTCATATTTGAAAAAACGACGATGTTGCTTCTCATAAACATATATGTATAGTATTTGATGGTTCACTTACAGATCAAACGTGCACTTAATCTGTCATATAGTTGCTTTCTAGCGACCATCACGCCGCAAACAATTCAGCGAATCACAGTGACAGAAACACCCAGCCGCTGTAACTGTAAGATAATTATTATATATTTTACTACGGCGTTATAAATTTACGCAAACAATGAATGATTTACTAAAAGCAGTGAAAAACAGAAACGATATTGGGCTAAATTTCAACAATAACTAGTTATCGCACAGAACTTCAACGCTTTAGGATTCTGCCTCTATATTTGCCTAACAGAGGGTGGCCCACCGTGAAACATCAACAACTTCTGGCAGCTTGAACACCCTCTTGTTTCTGCCGCGTACCTCTACATGACGACATCAAGCAATTCACAATTATGAACAAAAAATGAATGAACAGGTTCCTTTTACGCTCAAGTCAACGACGCGCAATATCTGGATAATACAGTAATAATAGTTATTATATAAATGCAACTTGTGCTTCTAAACTAACACAGATTCATACCGATTAGATATTGCGCAATACAGATGCTAAACAATGCGCTATAGCTGAAAAACAAATATCCTATTGACTAGTTCAACGAAGATGTTAATTAAGCGCTAACCTTAAATGTTTGATAGATAAGTAAGTGGCTATATAACTTTTCTATGAAAGTTATATGACGATGTCTGCTCCGCTGACGGCCGCAATCAACAACGTCAGAAGCAATCGCTATGCTGATTATAGTGCCTTAGTGCTGGCTGGCTCCAATCTGCTCTCGTCTTTCGATCAGCGTACAGCAACAGCCAGTGTATATGTTTGATCCTGAGAAACGAAGTGTCCGACGTGGCGCAGGCTGAGCGGTTGGTAGCTAGCGGGAGTTTTAAAAACAGTGGTTGTATGGATCTGGATACGGTATATAGGTTAGCGGATACCGATGTTATAGCTGAACAGTCTCTTGAGACGTGGGGCCGTTATAGCTTGTATGTAGTGAGTTGCTACAAGCAAGTGTCAACCTGACCACTGTGTTGGTATACGCAGCCTGACAATCTGCCCAAATAGTATACTAACTAAAAAAGCTCTAAAACGAATCTCCTTATGTGCTCACAGTATCTCAATTGGCTGCTCGTTCAGTCGGCGACGCAAACGTGTTCGTTTACGATGGCCACTAAAATCGAAGCGACTACCAAGCGAATTCAAGCCCAGAAGGGCTTCGTAACTATACTGTAAAACTAAGACATTAATAATCAGAATGTCAGCGTTTAGATAACGGACGCATCTTGAAAACCAATCAAATTAGCCGTTTATGCTTCTGGCCGTTTCATTCTTTAAGTGGGAAATATTGAGAGTTTAAGTTTAATAAAAAGGCGTATATTCAATATAATATTCCCTAGATGAGCCTTGTACACCTCCAGCTGAACATATATACTGTATAAACATCGTAAATTAATTTTATTCAGTAATCGTACGCTTGGTCCGCGCGTGAACTATGTGCATATAAAGGAATCATATTGGATGTGGCCGTTGGAACTATTGTGCAAAAGAATCTCTCAGGGAATTGGAGTCTTTGTCGTCAAAAGTTAATTTGTCAGCCCGCACCACATTAATAATACTACTAGCCTTAAAAGCAACTATTCGTCAGCTTTTTCCACTGACACATAGCTGTTTTCTGGACTGGAGTTATGAAATATAAAATCAAACAGCAGTAAAGGTAGTTTCTTACATTCTAATTATAGTAAATTATATATACTGATCTTTAATATATATACATATACATATATATTCAATATACGATCAACGACGATGATTCTGACTTGTTGTGAGGGGATAGTTTAATTGTGTATTGATTCACATTTTTAACTATTTCTACATATCGTGTTCACCCGAGCAGAACGCCTCCTAGGAACTCTAGGCTTAATATTACATTACAAAAAAACTAGCTATCACGTATCTGCGTTTATAAATGTTTGTATGTTGAACTACCACTAGAGTTTTATCTAATTATTTGGAGGTGAGCTGTCTGTTAACTGACGTTGTTCTACCAAACGTAGTATTGAAAAAGATTTTCCTTAAGATTTTCCTTCATATACCCCTTCAGATGACTTTTTACGCTTCAACAATAGTCATTAAGCGTTAGGGCTTCTGGTTACGGCTGCCCTTCTGGCCCAATTCTTTATCCTATGTAATTGAATATGTCATTGCAGTAAGCGACCATAAACGCAACGCCTTCGGTTCTGCCTGCATAGTACACACTAAGAGACATAATATGCGCTAGATACTAACCTGTTTGTTTAGTCCTAGACGAAGAAGCTTACCTCAGCTAAATATCTACATTGAAAAATATGCACATATTCCTGCTTCGTTTCGTGGCGAATTTTAGTGCATTATTACGTCCCAGTGACAATAGCAACCCAAGTCCATAGCACAGGTCACGTAATCGTCAAATACATCACTAACAATTAACTAGTTAATATGCGATCATGAACATATATATATATATGCCCGCCTTTAATAGACTTGGCTAAAATAATGAGAGTAGTAATGATAAAGCCTCTACAAAGTAAATAAAATGCTAACAGCACTATGCTCTACCTAATTAACAAGTCCAGTGATTCGTATTAAAAGTCCATTTTAACATTTAGCAGATGCCATACAACACTAAGACACAGTTTCAGTAAAAAGATGCCCAACGTTTTTTTTTTTTTTATTATGATACTGCGTGCTATTCATGTTACCAAGCGTCTATTTAGTCAAGCGAAATACAGTTAATCACAGTTCATTTCTATGCGCTATCAATATGGTGGCAATGCAAACGTTACTGAATTTCGCGGTTAAGGAAACGTTTTAAAAACGATTTGTTCTGTGATTTTTAAAAAGGACAGTTTCAAGTGGAACTATGCTGAGTTTATAAAAAAAGACGATTGACTTCTGCTAGACAGCGTTTTCGTCTGCTCAAAAATTGTTTACTTACATATGTCGATTCCCAGAATTAGACTCAACACATCGTATCTGTACATACGTTAACCCTTTTCAAATGCGTAGCAATACATATTATTAACATAATGTTAAAAACTATATATCCATTTGTATCATCATTTAAAATATCAATATAAGTTAAGCTAGGTTGCCAGAATATTTGTACGTATACATTATACTCAATTAGTTGAGCTAAGGTTTTAAGGCTGAATAATTACATGTGGCTTCTTAGAACTAATCGACTTATTGAGTTTTTCTTACGGGGTACCAACACTGCACGCTAGTTGGGCCTGAACGCATATCTTTAAGGCGCATCGCAGTATTGTCATTTATTATTTTGGATTTTTGCCTGGCAACATGAGTTTCGCACTTCTGATACGGAGGGAATGTCCAAATCCAATATTCAGCAAAAGTAACATCGTCGTAGTCATAACTTCTCATCTAAAAAGAAAACGACCTAATGGATGACTGCGCGACTACAACCTCTGCGATGCGGCTGAAGTATGCTCTTTTCCCCATGACAACTACCCAACGTTCTATCAATTGGAGTAAATTTCGCGCCGATTTTTATGCCGAAAGACAAACTTACAAAGCTAACAACGGTTCAGCTTATCTCAATAGAAATAGCTTTGCTACCGTTGTCTGAAGGAGTAAGACTTCCCTGAAAATTGCGTACAAAATATATCGTTAGTACATCATTATCACTGTCACAATCAATGATTTTGAATGAATTTAAGCGTTCGACAAAAGAATGGATTATACTCAAAATGCCAATAGTTACTCGTGTATAATTTGCTTTACCCATACTTTGATCCTATAGGATATAGAATTCCTATATATAGAAAAACAAAACTGCTTTACAGTAATTATGCGCTGCGATTGTGTGTTCATCTGACGAGACAATTTTTAAAGGATAACAGAAGCGGCTGGATGCTAACCCAAAGCTGTGCTAGGAGATACTCAGCTGCCAGGGGACATCCATAGACAACAAATATCACGAAGACAAAATTATTCTAATATTCTTTTAACAATCGTGAGTACCCGGGAGTCGTTTGTTTATATAAACTAACACCAGTCATCCTTTTACTGCCTTCATCAATTTTTGATTAGTAATGGTTTAATGAATGCGACATTGCTAAAGCTTACTTATACAGAAATAAGAACAGAACATAATAATCATTGTCTATAGCGACCCTCAGATGCTTCGGTTACGTCTATAGCTAGATGGCTCTATTTGTATAATAAACAGGGTCTTTTAGGTCTATTTAGCTGCAGTAGAATGGCAGTCTTTTCTTCTTTTTTTTTTTCTTTAATCGACGACTAATTTATTGACACCTATTATTTGATCAGCAGCCTGTAAAACCAACAAACTTTCCCAAAACCCAATCCAATCATTAATTTTCGTTTCCAAAGCCTTATATATGTTGGTCGATTAATTGATACCATCAAATGTATAAAAAACAAATGCGTCATACATACCGATTAAATCGGCGTAATAAATGACTCACTTTGTCTACGGGTCTGATGAAATCGGAAGTGAGCTCATAATGTGTGCAGTCTGGATTATGTTCAAGCATCCAGTAGGTAAAGCCGCACATCCTAAGAGCCGACGGCGAGCCAGTGCAATTGCAGATGGGACATTTCTGCGTTGACTTGTTCGTCTCCGCAGCAATGTACGAGTCTAAATCGAAACAACTAAGATGCTTACAGGACATAAATCGCACTGGAATCCGTATACGTGTCATGGTCACTATGAATTTTAACAATCCATTATAAGGCTTGTGTTAGTAGTAAAAAGATAGACAAAAGCCGGGTGCAAATAAGCATCCCACTATAGCACTACGCCGGCTCCTCGTTCGAGATCTATGTAATGCCAATGTGCCAGCTAAGATTTGACGATTTTTCCCAATATAATCGTGTCCTACTTATAATGACTTCTGATGAACCTGTACGAGCTTACACGTGCACGATAATGCGTGTGTGATTTTTTGTTATTTATCGAATACATGCGACACGGTATAACGCGGGAAAGGCCCAATTAGCAACTTTTTCACTAATTTAAGTAAAACTACATGATTGGCAGACGGGTCCACCGCGATATTGATATGTACAGACAAATAATCTACATCGTCTCTATGTTGCCGAATGCTGTTTCAACTGGTAAGCATAACTCACATGGGCATTTCAATGGGATGATCTGACTCTTAACTCCGTCGCTTTCTTTTACGAAGCTTGCTTGTTTTTCACGCATCAGATCCATCGATAATGGCGGCTTGGCTAAGATTGACCTGTTACGAATATCGTATTGTACACTACACACTTGTCAATAACTGAGCGCTACGTCAGGTTTCTTACAGTATAGCAGTAATGAAGCTTGTTCCTCTGTTTTAATCCTTCAAAAACTTGATGATCAAAATCATAATGATTCAAATGTAGCACTTAGATTTCAGAAAACAAGAAGAACGAGACAGACAACAGATTATTCCAAAAAAAAATCAGCTCCTCTCCAGGCGGTTTTGTCTTAAATCTGATTGTGCCTATCAAAGGTTTGGGGTCGTTAAGTGTTGCGCAACCTTTGTTTTGCGAACCTTGCTTCAGGCGGCTGGCCAATTCCAGAAACATGTCTACGCATGAATTCAAACTCAGGTCCTAGACCACCATATATCCTTGCATTTAGTAAATAAACGTGTTACCGATAATATCGATAATTTTTGTAACACTTTTGCAAGTAGATTCATGTCTGTACGCCCGAACCACAGTAAACGAATGAAAAACGTCAATCAGTGCTAAAAAATATTTCCTTACGTCATCATTGCAAGAATGACTGCTAAGACGTCGGTCGGCTAATACCTATAATGCAGCACACTGCACGCTTTACCGTGAACTACCATATAGGATGATTGATGGCGTATCTAACGAATTGATCAAGAACACATACGTATCGTTCGAATACTCCGATTATTCATATCTGTTGTTAAGCAGTTTTTACGTAACGCTTTAAAAAGTTACTTACGAACGAGCAGGTTTGTTCTCTTTGCAAGCTTTTGAGCCCATTGTCGTCCCATTTGATACTGGGGCCAGCTTTTCGGTAGCACGCAACTTGAATTTAGCGAACGTAAACAAAGTGTGGCTGGACATCCTCTTTACACATCTCATCAGATGAACAGCCATATAGATTCTCTGCATGTAGCATGCCCTATTGTGGCCATTGAGTAAGGGAAAAAGTACGAAATGATTCGAATAGACCGCGCGCGAGATGCCGTTCGCGACAGAAGATAATAGCATAGTGCGATAGTTGAGGTTTCCTATATTAAGACTGTTATTAAGAAGAGTTATTTCAAGGAGACTACTGTCATTCAGTATGCAACATACGTCTGCTTCCGACTAAACTAGAAAATCGCGACGATCTGCATATGTTGGTAAATGGAAAAGTCAGATTCGATTTTCTGTGGTTAAGGTATACAGATGGTTTTTGCTTTTCTTTATAAAGTGTAAGCTTTTAAAGATTACAACATCAAAAAAGTTCCTCTAGTACGTGTAAAATTTAAATGTAAACAAAATTATCTCGGATCATAGTTCATCTTCTCCTGTACATCAATTAGGCTAACGACAGGACTTTCTTTTAAATCATCGACGTTTTCGTTCGACAGTGCAGGATGATCTTCGGTCTATAATAAAGTTATGACAGCATAGCTCCTTAAATACGCCGCAGATGTTCTTCATTATAGCGTTCCTGTTCTATCGCAAACGCATTGGATTCTTTCAGAGGTCGCTTAATGGACTTGAGCGTTGTTCAAGTGCGATTCATTCACACCTAAATGGAATCCCATCAGCTTATGGAGTAAGAAATCTGGCTGGATCCAGGCCTTACCTCGAATCAATAAAACACTTCGAAATAAATTGGAAATAATTGGCGACGAATCGCCTTATTTTCAAGGCAAACTATTAGATGCTTTACAAATTACGCAGTTTTCGTGATGGCGGTTACTTAAATAGGATTAACGACATAGTTCGAAGAGAGAGTGTGCGTTAATGATTATTAATAGAAATATGCGACGTAGATATGTTTGTTGTCTATTTGTGTGTTCACCCATATCGAAAATGCCCAAGCAGAAAATAGTTAGTACAGTATTTTAATACATCCTGCTTGAAGAAAAGTAATATATTAGAGCAAGCAAAGAAATATATTAGCTCGACTTCGTCATTTCGGTATTTCCCTCTGAATCAGTAAGAACTTCACGAGTGAAAACCCATTTGGGG